TTTTCATACGCCTGCAGCGTGCGTTCCCTTTGTTTTTAATTTCGCGCATAAAATTATGCCTTAAATTGTTAGCCGTAAGTGCAGTTTTTGTTTGATTTTTTCTTTATTTGAGTAGTTAGGTTTGATAACCTTTAAACTACCTATATTCGCCTTGAAATGGCATGGGTCTTTGACCTTCTAGAATTCATCAGGTGATATCTGTATGCATTTACATGATGTTATTTAATATTGAAACGAAAAAAATGCTACCGCGGCTAATGTATTAATTGTTATATATTTTTTTAGTTGTGTATGTTTAAAGAAATTTATGTAGCATACGTCTTTTCATTTTATGTGATAACTTTTTCGTCACTCCGTATAACACATAATCATCAGCATACTGAGAGATATTTACATTAGAATTAATTTGATTACAAATATGAATAGTTGAAATATTAAATAGTAGTGGAGCTATAGGATCACCCTGGGCGATTCCTCGGCCTGTAGACCTGGATAAAATTACATTGTCCACCTGAACACTTAAGTATCTTTCCCTTAAGAAAGTCCACAAATATTTACAAACTTTTGATCCAGCACCTAATCGATCCAAATTCATTAGCAAAGCCGTAATATCTATGTTATTGTACGCGTTCTCTATATCAATAAAGCAACCTACTGTAATTTGATCTTTTGAAAACCCCAATTGTATTCTAGTAACTAAATTACTGAGATTGTCCAAACATGATTTTGATTTCCTAAATCCGGTGGTCTCTTCATAAAATAGGTTTTCATTTTCCATCAACCATTCCAGTCTATTTCTCAACATAGCATGGAAGATTTTACTCAGGCAAGACATCAGCGAAATAGGTCGGAGCGATGATAAAGATGACGCCTCACGCCCTACTTTTGGAATTGGTATAATGCGTATTTCTCGCCATTGAAATGGTACAAAGCTCAGAGAGTAAAACAAATTAAATAGTTCGAGTAAAATAATTAATGCGTCTTTGGGAAGGTGTTTTATCATTGAATAGGATATATTATCCACACCTGGAGAAGTATATTTTGTTTTAACACAGCACGTTAGCTCGCTCATTGAAAAAGGAGAGTCAATTTTAATGTTAAAAAAACAGGGTCCTTCGGACAAACTGAGTCTGGAGTCAAACTGTGTAAAAGCTCATTTGCCATAGTTAGATCAACATAACTCCTATTTACATTAGAACACCTATAACCTTTCAACCACTTCATTTTCTGCCACATCCCGTTTACTGTTGTAGACTCATCTATCGAAGAACAAAAAGTAGAAAACGATTTCTTAGTTGCCTTTCTAATTAGTAATTGTGTGATTCTAATTTTGTCTTTTAATTTATCTAAATTATCAGGAGTAGGGTTTTTTCTAAATAGAGTAAAAGCTAGGCGCCTTTCTGCAACAGATTTAGATAATTCGGTATTCCAATACACTTTAGGAGAAAAATGTTGTGAGGGATCTTGGCTGGTTCTGTAAAAAGGAATATGAGCATCAGCGGCTTCATTGATCATACGTAAAAATAAGTTGTAGCTTTTCTGCGGATCTTCATCTATAAAAACAAAGCTTGAAATTTTATCTTCTAAGTATGAGCTATATCCATCCCAGTTTGCTTTTTTATAGTTCCTTTTCTTTAGGAATTGACGCTTACTACTGTAATATGACAAATTAATCTTAATAATCAAATGATCACTGCCTAATGACTCATTAGTAACCTTCCAATCTAACTGCAGTGCTAGATCCGAAGATGCGATAGATATGTCAGGGGACGACTCCTGTATTATTCCGTTTACATATTTAACGCGAGTAGCTGTGCCATCATTCAAGGAAACGAAATTATTTTCAATTAAAGAATCAAAAATGTTGGTGCCTCTTAAATCAACCTTACTAGACCAGCTTGGATGATGTCCATTGAAGTCCCCAAGAATCAATGTTTTGTTAGTTTTAAAAGAAAATATTTCATCCCAGTCATTCTGAGAAGTTCGTATGGTAGGTGGGCAATATATAGAGAGTATGTAATCTATGTGTGTACAGTTAAAAATTTTAATACAAATTATTTCAATTCCGGGATTAGAAATTTGGACAGGTATTAGTTGAGTCTTTAAAGATTTGTGTGAACAAATAGCAACCCCACCATACGAATCATTTCGGTCCCTGCGGTAAATATTGTAGCCACTGATTCTAAACGTAATTTCAGCATTCAGCCATGTCTCAGAAATGGCAGCAATATGAATTTTCTCACTACTTAACAGCTGGTCAAACTCCGCGCGTTTGGGCCCTATACTTTGTGAGTTCCACTGTGTTTATTTTGTAATTACTACCCATTATTGTCCGAAGAAACTTTTAAAAGGCAAATCCCAAATGCACTGCCCCACCATCGGTACTAACCATTCAATAACTAATGACATTCCTTGAATTATTTTCTTCTTAAGTTTTTCTTGTGAATTTGTAAATATAGAATACAACTTACAAAGTAACTGCTTAAAATTTAGAGTAGATCTAAGCTTCTCTCTTCTCTCTTTTTTCTGTCTTCTTGATTGGAGCTCAATTTCAATATCATCATCATTATTGTTAACTATTTCTTCCGATTCTGACGATATATCGCTTTCAATCAATTCATTCTGATTTTGCTTCTTCTTTCTTTTTCTCTTCGTCCCTATAGTCTTTCTTTTTAAAGCTTGCGGAACCTCCTTAGCATACGATTTTAATGCGAATGGTAATGAATTACTGTTAGGAGCATTATCAAATTGTAGGTGCGGTGCAGATCGAGTTACGCTTGCGTAAGTCACTACCCCATCGTCGTTTTGTGGTATAGAGGACATAGGTATGGGCTCGGGCAGGTTATTATATAAAGGTGTATTTAGGTTGAGATGTCTTTGAGCTGTCTGTAATATAGTTGGCTCTTGTTTTACTCGTTCAGGTTGAGGGTCTGGAGGAACATATACTTGTAAGGCCTTTTTATAAGAGCAATTGAATTCAGCCATTATACTCCTTAGACGCTTTCCTTTTATAAATATAGGACATGATCTATCCAACGATATGTGACTCCTGATACAGTTAACACATCTAAAAGTTGTGGTCTCACAATTAGCATGCCCCTTTCCACACTTAGGGCATACAATCTTTTTAGAGGGGCAAACACGTAAACTATGGCCGAACCTCCAACACCTCGAACATTGAGTGACTGGGAAGACATAGGGCTCGACGTTAATCTTCATGTCGTAAATGTATACTGATGCTGGCAACGATGAGCCCTTAAATTCCAGCCGTACTGATTCGCTATCTTCCCATCCCTTTCCATCCATCATTCTGCGCTTCAATCGTTTTACACCTAATATCTTGCAATCACTTGAAATTACCTCCAGCATTTCTTTTTCGGTCATCTCCAGCTCCAGCAATATCCTTAATGACACCGTATGAGGAAGCAACCTCTAATGCCTTTTGAAATCGCCATCCTAATTCCTTCAAAGGTGTACAGTTCATCAGCTCATCGGCACTTTCTGCACATTCAAACTGCACTAATACTTTGTTCGCGTTCACATATTTCACACGGCTAATATTCTTGATATTATTGGATTTTAAAAGTTTTGCAAGCGCAAATTGTTTAGGTAATTTTTCGTAGCAATTAATATATAAATCAACTTTCTGTCCCACTCTCTTCCCATTTCTTGAAACCGTAATCCACCTTTCTTCCTCATCCTCTTCTCTGCGTCTCTTACTACAAATCGGTGTAATAACCTCATCGTCAATCATTGATTCACAGTTTTCTTGTAAACAAATCTCCGTTTCCACATCATTGTTTTGATTTAAAACAGAATTTATCGCCTCTCCGTCTAAAACTTGATTTTCTTCCATGGTGAACAAAGTACACCAATGAATGCTCCAAAATTAAAGCATGGCAAACCACGCATTCACGTTAGTAACCGACAGTTAGACTAATATTCGTAAGTATGAGCGCACGCCTATTCAAACGACTCGTCTGTTGCGAACGGGCGCTCAGACCGAACTGAGAGCGCATAATCGATACGCGGCTTAGGATTTCGTTCGTCGTTCGTTAGTTGGAGTTGGTGTTGTGACTTATGAATTACTTGTAAGGAAACATTGTAGGAAACTAAAAGAAAATGAATTGTTATGCGTTTATTACAGCTCAAAAAATAAAATAAAATGGTATTGTATGCAAGTACATACACATATACATATTTTACCTACATTCGGTTTTGTAATGCAACATCTGCATGTTTTAGTCTATGATTGTAGTTAGCGTGGCATTTAAATTAAGAAATTTATTTTTTCTATTGTAATATTACGATGTAATAATACGAGGGCTATGCTCGGAGTTTCTCTGCGTGATAAACTCAGAAATGAGGATATCCGCAGTAGAACCAGAGTGACCGACATAGCCCAACGGATTAGTAAGCTGAAGTGGCAATGGGCCGGCCATATAGCTCGAAGAACCGACAACCGATTGGGAAGAAAGGTTCTCGAGTGGCAGCCTCGTACCGACAGGCGAAGTGTAGGGCGTCCCCCCACTAGATGGAGTGACGACCTGGTAAGATATGCAGGAAGTCGATGGATGCAGGTGGCTTAGAACCGTGCTTTGTGGCATTCTTTGGGGGAGGCCTATGTTCAGCAGTGGACTTGTGAAGGGCTGTAATGATGATGATGATGAATATTACGATATTATTACCTATTTATTCACTTGAACAACAAATAATTTTTGTTGACTTACTTCACTACTGAATTGTTGACACTGCATGAATATTGAAGCCCCGCTAAATGACACTAAAGTAAGGTGTAGGGATTGCAGTACAGTTCAGTTGAACATAGTGAATGTTCAGAATGCGAAATCTAGTGCGTAGTACATATATATTATTACTATTTCTTGCATTCCTTAAAACAAAAGAATACAAAGGGTGAACTTAACGCCTTAAGGCATTCTCTACCAGTCATATCGATGATGTCAACTAAACAGTGATACTATTGTACATAAAATGAATACCTTCTTTTACTCCATACTCGAGAATGGTAATGGTGTTTTGCTTATCTAGTGATGTCACTGCTACTAGGTTTTTGTACTGAGATTTGTCATTCGATTCTGAAGTTTGCTGAGGGTGCCACTGGACATTATAAATCATTTTTCTGAAAAACATAAATTATGTTTAATTTATCTATATCTTTTTAAAATACATACAGTTAAAACAATTTATCTCACATTGTGCACATAACCACTAAAAGTTTAAAGAGTTTTCCACAATCAATAAATTAGCAAGAATGTGATTTATGGGCAACAACGTTTTTGCTAACCGATCAAACCTTACGAATGTGTGCGTGTGCAGTAAAATTAATTAAAATTTGCATTACCACGCATTTTGAATTTAAAAAATATAAAAGGACAGAATGTTTGAGATTTATTTTAATTAATTTTTGTTCACTGTTTGCCTATATTACTTATTCTGAACCTTCTCTACTAATTTGGCCGAAAGTCTGTATATTATATATTTTTTTATAAAAATTTATGAAACATATATCTTACGTGTAAGCATAGTTGACAGCTAACACGCTGTAGGAGGGATGTTGCTCGAGCACAGCCACAGCGCCATTGTTGGTACCGATGACTAGCGAATCAACCAAACATTGCACGCAACTCACTTCCCACTGCTGGCCCTCCATACAAACTTTGATCATCTCTGGAGCTATAAGTAAAATATAAAGGTTGATTAAAACACCTATAGTAAATAAATGTTTGTTAAAGGTGCCGTGTCCTGTAATAGCACTTGTTACTATCCTGATCTGCGGCTTGTTCAGTCTTATTAGAACTTTGGTTAAATTTATATGTTCTGTTAAATTTGTAAAAACACGGATATACGAATCAACTAATATCAGCGACAGTAGGTTAAGGTGTGATTGGGGTGGCCCAAATGAAGACATTTATCTTATATATAAATTATATATGATACACCTATGTTTAACCAATCGCAATAGGCTGCACCTAGTTCTAGTTGGCTAGAACTAGGTGTAACCGCACTTCGGCTTTTAGCCGTAACATATATACGTAATAATAGTTACATTACTAATATTCTCATTAACCACTCCAGGTAAGTTTAAAATATTTGTGTTTAGGAATGGTTTACGACAGTAATAGTTCAAATGTTGGTTCAAAGTTCGACTATCGGAAATTGCAGTCTCTGAACCCTTAACTATTAGGCTACTGTCGTTTTTTGTTTATAAACAGGTTAACATAATTTTGCGTTGTCGCCACGATTTGGCAAGGGTATTAGGAATCGCAGTCCATTGCTTAACATTACCAATTACGATATTTAAAACCTGCTATGAAAATTAGGCAATTCAAGTTCAGGGGATTCCAAATCATCTTGAAATTTATGGCACAAAAAGGAATGGATTTACTATTCCAATGACCACATCAATAACAAACAGATTAAATGTCAATGTTTAAGCTTAAAACTACCCTACACATAATATATTAAAATTTCGATTTTATTTTTTATTTATTTATTGCTGATATATGTGTGTTTCATCACTTGTCTAAGACCCTGTATGGATACTACACAAATGTGCTGTGACAGAATAGCAGGAGTAAGGATTTCCCGTTACAACTGAGTCACAGACCGTTTTGTCACAATTCATTATTAAGCTGTCTATTTAAATTTTAACATTGTATTGTTTTGTGGCAAATAAATACTTTTTATTTAGTTTACTTTAGTTGTATTTTTTTAATTATTTTAAAACTAAAAAAATTGATAATTGTTTTTTCTCCTTTGACGTTTTTGATTGTGAAATAGATTCACCCCAATAAAAGTTTTAAGATACCTATTAACAAGTTAAAATTACACACAATTTAGGCCATTAAGAGCTACATACATTTACAAAGTATATTTTCAAGTGCATGTAGTTAAAGTTCACTTACGTTGATCGGGTCGTTTGGTATCGTAAACTGCAAATTTTCCATTTGCACAAGCAAATAATTGCTCTCCTTTGCCCCAACACAGCGAATACACGCCGCCAGTTAATGCAGGCACGAGAGTTCGCGCCGCTCGCTCCGTTTTGCCATTTGTGTCGATTAAACCCACCTAGAAAGTACAACAAAAAGTAACTAAATAACTGATAATTATTCTTCTAGATTGGTTTCAATCATTGCAAAAGAAGCTATCAACTGAGTAGAAAATATTATAATGCCTCAAATGTAATCTTACATGTGAGCACCAAAGGCAGTAAGATAGCAGTTAGTTTATTATACAAAACTAAAGTAACAAACAATTTAATAGTCCAATTTAATAGTTTAACAGTCCACAAACAATTTTAGTAGTTAAGTGGCTACTGCACTCCATGGACACCCATGTAACAAGAAGACAAGAAGGCTACTGATGAGTTGTCATATCTAAGAACCAAGATGCAATGCCACATCATGTGCACAGTAGTGCAAGCATTACTATTTGGTGGCAGAAATAGGTATGAGGATGATACTTATCAATTGCATATAAAAGTATATACGGTACTTAAAATTTTTCTCTATTTGTCTGTTTGTTCTGGCTAATCTCCGAAACGGCTGGACCGATTTTGGCGGGACTTTCACTGGCAGATAGCTCATGTTATAAGGAGTAACTTAGGCTACTTATATTTTAGAAAAATAATTAAGAGTCCCGTGCAACAATATTAAAACCCTAAAATACACGCGGGTGAAGTCGTACGAACAGCACCGTTTCTTGTATCCAACAATCTAAGTGTGTCAGTGGAAAAACTGTTCAGTGTGACAATAATCTCTCCTTCCCTTCAGCCCACATAAAAATCCATTGTTGAAGGTAAGCCTCTAACATAACAGGTAAAAAAACATATTAAAATTTGTATACAATATTTAAAAATAAAAATCAATTATAAATTAATAGAAAAGCCCTATGATCACATGTTTAGGCGTGAAGGAAAACATTTTGAGAAAACTTGCAATTCTAAGAAATCATAAATATTATGAGTACATATGAAATCTGCCATAGTGCATTGCGGCATTTATAACTGCTTGAAAAGCAAAGATAATAAAAATATATTTTTTACCCTAGACTCAGCTGTACCAAACGCGAGTAAATTCTCTTTTGTAGGATGCCAAGCAATGGACAACACCTTCCCCTGGACATTCTGCCAGTATGTGGACACATTGCCTAGACACAGCTTAGTGTCATCATCATCTGCAATATCTGCTTCCCAGACCCTCACTGCGCCATCGCCAACACTAACTGCCACCCTGTTTGTTGAGTAATAGTCATTTAATCAAAACAGTAGGGTTCTGAAAACTTATGTCACTTGAAATACTTCTAATGATTGGACAAAAGTAAACAAATTATGGAAATTGTACAATTTAACAGTAAATGAAATCATCTCAAATCAAAAACATTAACATATATTATTACAAAGTAAACCAATAAAATCAATGTACTAAAAACAGCAAATCAAGATAGTTGTTAGTCACCCATATAAGGGACACAAATGAAAAATTTCGAAAATATGGCTACACAAATACTTACTTCCTAGCATCATATGGGCATGGCTGTATGTTATACAGGAAACCCCCACAAGTTGCGAGAATAGAAAGCTTCTGTTTTCTTTCCAAAGAATATCGAACCAAGTTTCTGTCCTGTGCAGCTGTCCATATGCTCCACTGATTTGCCTTAGCTGCATCTATTTCCTCAATAGTTTGGATTTTTGGAGCATCAGTGACAATACTAAATAATCCACGTTTGTGAATTGAGTGGACCACTTGAAATTCCAACTTGTTTTTACTATAAACATAAAAAATAATTTCAGTTTCATTTTTTTTACATATTATTAAATAACGAGTATTGCCACAAAACAGTAATAAAATTAATTCAAGGATCAAATCAAATCAAAAAAAATTATTTATTTGCAATCCAAGTGTACATAATTTTTTAAATAAAATGACAAATGATGTTTAGAAAACAATTTAAATCAATCAGTAATAAATAGTTTAATAAAATTAAAACAATAATAATTATGTACCAATCAACTTTTAAAGGATCGCACTGCAAAAGTTGACTCTTGCCATCAGCTATCAACAGAGTGTCAGCTCTGTACCACAACAAAGTGGTAAAATTGGGTAATTTACTTCTTTGGTTCTTATTTCCAGCGTTAGGTACAGCACAACTGGCCACCAGTTTTCCTGTCTTTGACCATATTCGAACTCCTCTACAAACAAAAATTTACTATGTTAATTAAAAAAGACAAGAATGTAATGAATCTAAGCAGATGTGGATGGATGAGCGATAGAATAATTCCCAAATATATTCCGCCTTGTTGTTGTAGTTGTCAGTGGAAGTTTGAGCTTACCACTTCGAGTGAGCTTGGCTTCCTACAAATAAAATGGAGTTGCATGGGAAATAGTGAGAGTATGGTAATTTAATAAAATAAAAACATTGTGAGAAAATCTACATGTCTGAGAATTTAAAAAAAATCTAAGATATGTAATCTGCCAACACCCATTGAGGCACTGTGGCAGACACTTCCTTGCTCTAAAAACCTTTCAGAAATGATAGAAGTACCATAAAGGCTACTTTATTTTTTTTTATTTCACTTTATTACACACAAACACATACCCTTGTTTCCCAACTGTGGCTAAAAGATGTTTATGTGTGTGAATACTTGCTTCACTTTTTTCTTCACTTGTGCATGTTTCTTCTTCTTCTTCATGTTCCTTATGTTCATTTTCAACATGTGTTTTTTCTAAAGCTTCTACTAGGCTGGCCATACTAGGTTCTGGTTCACTTTTTCTCTTTAAAATTTCTTCTTTTAATTTCATACATTCATCTAGATAACTGACATCTGTTTCAACTTCCTCTTTGACTTTAACTAATATCACCTCAGGTTCATATTTCTTTGGCCCAAATTCATCTGTCTCGTCATCCTTATACATATCAAACAAGTCATCTTCCTGCACAACCACAGATTCATCAAAGCTATCATCAGGAAGTTTCTTAGAAACAGCTGACTGATCCAAGTTTTGAGCAGTATCTTCAGGTTCTTGCCTAATTTTATTCATTCTCTCATTGGCGCTTATCCTCTTCTCAGATTCTTTGAGATATTTTTTTACAGCAACATTATATTGGGGGCACCAACTTGCATTGACAATTTCATCATCTTGCCCTCGGACTTTATATAAAATTTTTCCAGTACCTAAGGAACAATTAGCTGGTTACAAAAAAATATTTCATATTTAACAGGGAATTTTAAACAGTTTCCTTGTAATAGTAATATTGTTACTGTGCTTTCTAACTTATGGTAATTTTAGTGTATTATATTATATTTTATGTTAAAACAATGAGGGCTCATAATCTTCTGTTCACCAGATGTCGCTAGTTGGGACTGAGGTTAAGGTTCTTTTGCACAATGTCATTTAATTGAGGAGTTTGTTTTAAATAAAATTTGTCATTTTATAGAGTATTAAATTAATACACAAAACTATGCATCAGTGGTTTGCTCTTTAATTATTTTGCACAATTTTAACTCTTTTTTTTATTTTTTTACTTTTAAGATTAACCATAGTTTGGTTTATTCATTTCTAATATAATTAATATAAAATATAACTATTAAAAAATAAACATGAACCCTCATATTTTCATAAAAAATTAAGTTCCTAGCTGTTAAATCTGACAAATATTTCACCTCATTCCAAAGTGGTGGGATGTCCTCATTAATTTTGTTATTGTTAGGAAGCATAGATTTATAAAAAATTATATTGTCTTGCTTACCATTTAAGTCCAAAACAAAAATTACCCCTTGCTTTGTCCCCACAGCTAAGTGTAAAGTGATGTGCTGTGAGCATGACATACAGGTTGGTTTGAAGTTTTTGAGAAAATTATTATATGTCTTTACAACATTGGAATTAAGATTCCATTTTACTATATTACCAAAACAGCCCACTGTGACTGCATACACTCCACTGCTATATCCAATTCCTGTTACCTCCTGAAAAAATATTGTGTAAATAACCAGTGTTTTTGAATTGTGGAAGATACTGCCTCTCATCTCCTGTATCATTTCCTTCTGTTGCCTCCTATGACCGAGACAATATAGGGTAGTAGATCCTCTTTCTATTAATAATTCAAAATAATAAAAAAGCTAAAGTTGCCAACACAGCTGACAAATGTGGTTACTAGGGAAAATATCCACTGTATGAGGAAATCCATGGGGTAGGCCTATGTTTAGCAATAGACTTTTGATAAGCTGTTCCCGAAACAGAATTCCGTATGTATGTGGCTGACCTTAATCAGTTTCATACATATGTATTCATAAACTTTAATCCTACTATGTCAAAACGTGTTATCAACTAGTGAATTTCAAAATATACAAAAAAAATATAAAAAATCATGATTTTTTTCCATCCCTGCCTTATTCTATAAAAAAAAAACCTAAATATCCTCAGAGTAATTAGGTACTTAGGCATTTACACATTTTTATTATTAACACATCTATACATATAACAAGTCTGTAGTAAAGTCGTGTCTGTAATTCTAACATTTTTGGAAAAAACAATTCCAGGGGACTAAATAAAGGGCACTGTGACCGAATTAGTGATTTTTAGAATTTTTTTCTGTCTGTGTATTACCATTTTATGCAAAAACTACAGGAGAGATTTTCATGAAATTTTGTGTGTAGATAGCTAGGGACCCGTGGCAACTTAAAGGCTACATTTTATCTGATTATATATCATCAAAAAAAGAGGGTTAAGTATTTTCCTTCCTCAAGATGTTAATTTCTTTTTTATATTATTGATTATTGACTTTTTTTTAAATAAATAACATTTATAAATAAAGCCTAAATTAGTTCCAACTGTTGCGTTATAATTTTAACTACGCCGACAATCGAAATTTCACTTTATCAAAACAGTGCCATCGAATGTGAAATCCAAAAAGTAGTAACATTTTACCTCCAGTTACTAATAAATAAAATAAAATATATAACTTACATTTATATGTTTAATAATTTAATTCATAATTATTTGGGAATTCTAACATTAATTTTTCATTTCTTTCCTTATTTCGTTTTAATGGGAATTAATAAAGTTTATAGTAACTAATTACTACTTAAATAGTAGATAATAGTGACATCTATCGAAATTCATAAAATGTGAGATGTTTCTAAGTTTAATTTCTAATCTATAAAAAAAAGTTTTGATTATCTATAAATAAACTGATAAAACTGTAATTATTGCAAAACCCTCACTATCCATATAGTTTAAATAAAGAGATTTTTATATATTTATTAGCCAGATCTTAGAATTGATAATATCATAAACTACTTAATTATAGCACGAAATGGTGGTAAATTTAACTTGTTTTTGGATTATATCATGATATAGCCTGACCAAATCAATGAATAGGCGATATTAACAACTAAACACAACATTGCTATTTCTTCATTTTGTTATATCGTAAAATAATTTCATTACACACCGCTAGCAGCGCTGATAGTGTATTTTCGACAGAACCAGAATTTTTAATAGAATATAATTTATTCCTAATTTAGGTATTATATAAATGTTAGCGGCTTTGTTGTGTGAAACGGCACCCCCCTCACACCTCAACTTATTGTTGCTGAGTACGATTGGGTACAGTTTTTGTTTTTATAGTTTTAATCTCATAGTACCGCCATCTACCTACTGCTAAATAAACTAATAATAAGTGATGAAATTAATGAGAATTCTATTGAATACTTTGATGATTTATCGTTATTGTCAAAATGACTAGCAGAACTGTGTACACAAAGCTGTGATTATGACAGAATGTCTTTAGTTGAATATGTTGGGTGTCTATCAGCATAGCAATATTTCACCAACTTCTTTTTGTATCAAAACTGATGTAAGTAATTGAAAATTAAGTGGACTGTAAGATTTTCATATCTAAATGATGGAATAGTTTGATTGACTAATTACAATGTAGATGGGGTCCACAATAGTGCAAAAGCTTATTTTCAGTGTTTATGAGTTCACTTAAGCAAATACGAGAGCTGTGTAGCCCGCCGTAAGATTTCAAAGCACAGGAACAAAAGTGTTCGATTCCCGTGAGGCCCCATGAAACTACTACTACTACCTACCTATTGAGATTTTTGTGACTGTCCTGGTTTCATAGCTGACATGAGTAAATGAACAGGCTCTTGCAAAAAAGTACTATAAATATTATAGACAGCAAATTTTAAACACATGTTTATTTTAATTTTAACTATGAGTAAAACTACATTGATAGAATCTTGAAAGTTATCAGGTAATTGAACCGATCGTAAGCAACCCAAATTCAATCCGCACCAACACCAATCATATTTTAATTGCAATTTGAAGTTTCGATTTACCACATTCTCAGTGGTGAAGCAAAATATCGCAAGAAAAGCTACATATTTGCGAAGTTAAAAAAATATTTTGGAAATAACTTTAGGTGTACTTATGTGAAGTCAGTCAACCCGCATTGTAGTCAACTCAATCAACTCTTTTTTGTCCATTAGTGGGATGTATGTAGGCTGCTACTTTTTTACTTTTAATAGGCCTATCCACTGTTGATCATAGGCTTCTCCAATTGTTTAACAAATAGGCCAGAATTTTGCAGTAGTAACCACACCTGGCGAGTGGGTTGGCATCCGCAGCTTTTTATTACTCTGCACTGTTATCAGGAAGATGCTGCCATCCATCTCCTGTTTCAGTTTGCATTCTGTCGCCTCTTACGACACCCACGAGATGAAATGAGGTATTGGTTTCCATTTCCCCGCCTCTACATTGCTAATATATTTCTACTCCCATTCATCATATTGATTCCCTCCATAGATTACGAAATAAGTTGGATATTATTCGCTTTTGCCATGCTTGGCAGGCGGGTTGCTAACTGCAGTTTTTTATTATTTTGACCTGTAATCAGAAAGACGTTGCTGCCCATCTTCTCTATATTTCTACTCCCGTTCACGAATATAGTCCCTGACACATTCATTGTGAATAGAACTACATTTATGAAATTTTAACTTTAATTGAAGTAGTTTTAATGATGTTTCTAAATTGAAGCCAACACGAGCGAAGCGGGTAAAAATCTAGTTTAAAATAATTATAAAAAAAATATATGCAATTATATTTATATATGTATAGTAACTGATAGCTAAAACACTAAATCACACAAGGTGAATTTTGACCACATAAACATGATTCAATAGTGCTATGTAGTAGTGCTAAGTTGTGAGCAGTGTCAAAATACATAATATATCCATATAGAAGTGTGACTAGGGAATACATTGTCTTGTCACACTTCATTCCATGTGTTTGATACACAAAAAAGTTATGAGAAAACACATAAAAAACATACAGTCAAACTGAGTGCCTCCTCTTTTTGAAGTCAGTAGAAAAATAACACTTTACCTCTTTATCATTATAGTGTATATCATGGCTATGAGTGGATTTAATTTTGTATTTATTACTGTCCACTTCTATAATCCACTGCTTCACTGAACCATCTGTGCTGCCAGATAACACCGCTTTTTTCTCAGGCCATTCTGGAGAAATGTCGACACTAACAATTCTGTAAAAACAGTGCAATGAAGGTACTAGTAAAAGAATAGGCTTAAATAATATATAATATAGGCTACTAGTTACTTTTCTCCGTGAGCCCTGTTTAGTACATGAGCTCGATAGCGATCTCCCTGGATAAGACCATTTACATTTTGCGGTAAGGGTTCCAATATGCAAAGACTTTTGCTAGGACCGCCATAAACCAACCAACCATCACCGCTAACACTCAAACCAGAAGCTTGAAACCAATTAGGTGATGGCAATAATAGTGTTTCTTCCATTTTTAAAACAAACAAATTAACCGTAGGAACTAAGAAAAGACGAGGAACAACAAATTCCAATTTAAACCAAATTAAACTGCTAAACTAAACTGCAATGTAGTCAGTGTTACCAACCCGAATCTTGTACATATTACATTTACATTATATATTTTTTTTGGAGTTTATGGCCTGGCATCTAGACCTTTAGGCCATCATTTACATTATAATTTGTGACCAGTGTGACCATCTTTAAAAAACAGAACCTGCCTTACTTTGGTTAAAAACCTGCCAAATCCTGCCAGTCTGTAATGAAAAATGCCTAAATACTGCCAACTTTATTTACCATTGTATAATTGTATTAAACTAAGAAAAATAAAATACACCCTTGTTTAGCCTTGTTTAACGTGCAAGATAGACGCTACATGTTTGTTTACATCTAATTACGTTTTGTGTTTTAATTTATTTGAGAGAATGTTCTATCGCATGCTGAATCCACTTTTATTTTTTTGATGTTTACTAGTATCGGCATGCTCTTTTAAAGCGGATAGCCGGGATGCCAATTTGCAGTTTTTTTTATAGAAAAAGGGTGACAAACAAGCACACAGTGCACCTGATGGTACGTGAATGCTGCGGTCCATAAGCATCTACATTTATAATGATTTCTTATATTTACGCGAACACTACACATTTTTAAATAAAACTGATTATAAGGATTTTATCGCGTATATTAACTTATTTTTATATTCCCGACGTTTCGGGTGCTTTCCAGCACCCGTGGTCACGGGGAACTGAGGTGTTTGACGTCCTGCTGTCATAGTTAGCCCGGCTACCTTCAGTTTTTTAATATTAATTTTTGGTTCGATTTACGCAGAATGAGCATACAGTATCTTGAAGTCCAGCAGTGGTATACTTGGGTTTGGATTTGATTTTATTAATTATGGGATCCCAAGCAGATGGCAGCACCCATCCATCTTCTCTATTGAAATTAGGATGTTTTTTTAATTTCAATAGCCTCGCGAATCGTCCTTGGGAGGAATCGGTGTTCTTTTGCGAGGATTTGTGGTCTATCAAATCTAATGTAATGGCGGGGACGATCTTGAACATGTTCACAAACTGCAGACTTCCCGATACATCGGTGCTTCACGTCAGCTATATGTTCTTTAACGCGGGTTTTAATAGATCTTTTTGTTTGTCCTATGTACGAGAGACCACATTCACAATCCAGCTTGTACACTCCTGCATCTTGTAGAGGGATATGACACTTGACGGATGGTAAAAATTGACCAATCTTCTTCAGCGGCTTGAAGTATGTTTTAATGGAAGCTCGCTTCAAGATGTAGCCAACCTTGTCTGTGACTCCTCTGACATAGGGTAGTACAGCAGGCACACGCTCAACTGTGGCTGGCTTCTTACTGCTCCTGTAAATCCAAGATTCTACAAGCGGTACGTAGACGATACTTTCACAAATTTACCATCTGACAAAGTAACTGCATTTTTAAACCACCTTAATTCCATAAACCCTAAAATACAATTCACAATGGAGTTAGAGGCAAACAATACTTTAGCTTTCCTAGATGTTTTAGTCATCCGAAATCCTGATAACACTATTGGTCATACTTTGTACAGAAAAAATACCCATACCAACCGATATTTAAATGGTGAATCTCACCATCATCCTTCACAGTTAGCTACCGTGGGAAAATCTTTGTTTCAGAGAGCACGAGGGATCTGTGACAGAAAACATCTGGCCGCCGAGCTTCAGCACGTCGAGCAAGTACTGCAAGACAACAAGCTTCGGGTCCCGCGCCTACGTCACAGTGACCGAGTGAAGCGATTGCATTGCATTCGAACCAACGAAAGATATGTTTAATTTTAAATTAAAAAATATAGCATTTATATATGTATTTTTACATTTCATAGTATAATACAATGGTAAATAAAGTTTGCAGTATTTAGGCATTTTTCATTACAGATTTTGGCAAGATTTGGCAGGTTTTTAACCAAAGTATGGCAGGATCTGTATTTTAAAGATGGTCACACTGGCCACGCATTTGTGTTATGTAGTTGCGCGGTTGGCGCGATCCTTACGTTAGTAATATATAAGCCAATGGGTAGAGATGTCTCCTTTTAATAAAATTGTTTTTATTCTACTTTTTCTTACATACTTCGCCATAAAATGTTTGCTGCAAATTGTTGAGTTCTTCTTTGGATTCCAAACAACCCGCCCAATTAACCTTAACCATTTTTATTCTTATTATATAATACAGATTGAATCTGAAAATTACATTTTTAGAATATATAATAATAGTCAAAGTAGCAAGGTAAAAAAGGTTGACAAATGGGTGCCCCACGAACTCAATAATCGCCAGCGCGAAGTATGCGTCGAGACGTGCCTTGCACTCCTCAATAGCAAGTTAAGGGTATTTATTCACTGTTATTTTTATGGAACTGAAACGCCAGTCACGGTTACTTAAACATTTTTCACCAAGTCTAGCTTAGAATATACTGGCGTTCTTTCAGTTAAGCCTTGTTGGCAACATAAGAATTTGAATTGTCATTTTTGGCACTTGTTCACTTGTCACATTCATTGTCAAATGGTATGGCTTAGTTCCTTTGCCTGCTCTCTCGACTCTCGAGCGAATAATAAAAACAACATTGTCAAATGTCAATGTCATTGTCCTATCCAGAATTGACTATGGCATTGTTGATTTTTCTAGAAAGTATTATGAAAATATGTAATTTTCCTAAAACTATAAAATACTATAAATATATATTTACAATTTCTGTCGTGTCAATAGTGTAAGAATTTTATATTGAAATTGAATTAACAAACCATGGCTCACTACAAAGGAGCTGCATCGGAAGCTGGCAGGGCCATGCATCTGATGAAGAAACGAGAGAAGGCGCAGCAAGAAATAGAACTTAGGAAAAAGAAAATAGAAGAAGACCTCAAAATCGACAATATAGAAAATAAATTCGCGACACATTATGATGCTGTTGAACAACAATTAAAAAGTTCAACTATTGGACTTGTAACTCTTGATGAAATGAAAGCCAAACAAGAACATATTGTTCGCGAAAGGGAAAAAAAGCTAGCCCAAAAAAAGGCTGAAAAAGAAAAGGAAAGGCAAAAAGAAATTGAAGCTAAACAAGCACAGAAAAATAAACAAAAGCGTCAGGTTATTCTTTACCCAATTATTAACTAGTATTCAAATGTAGTAACCATAGTCAAATCCTAGGCAAATTCATTTTAATACATTTTTGGAACATTTTGAACAAATACCAAAAATATAGCATTCTATGACATATAATATGTATGATTATAATAATATAGTTTTAATATAGTTTTTCCAAATTTTTACTGCAACACTTACGTTTGACAGGCTCAATCATGGAAAAACTATGCTTGTGCAATACCAATTTAAAACAACAGCTTAATTCTGCTGTTTTTTATAGTAAGTGGTGAGGACCCTTTCTAATAGTAGTGAAGAATTCCTTCTAAGTCCTCATGAGTGAAAATGTATATGCTTATTGGGTACGACTTTCCATTGACGTCCGCCGAATTGGGTGTTGATATTTTTATTACAGAAAGGTTACATTATTATAAGCACACATGCAAAGTTTCAACATTCAGGGACACATACTTTTTGAGAAAAAAATATTGAAAATCAACTATTTTAGCAATATTTATGTCAATTCCTACCGTAAAACTTATGCCATTTTTTATTGTTATTGTCAGTAGGGATGTCGATTCTTTCCGAAAAAGATCGATTTTTTAAATAGATTCAAATTGTAAGCTGATGTATCGATTCCCAAAAAATCGATTTCTAAAATATCTATATTTTTTCATGTTTGCATCCTCTATGCCTTAGAGAAAAAAATTCCCTTCATCATAAAAAAATAAGGGGACTGATTCAGAAGGATTCTGTATCTATTTTGAGACTGCTACGTCTCGGGCGCTGTGGGAAGAGCAGTCTCTACGCCTTAGCGTAACAGCAGGCGGAGGCTGCTCCTCCTACGCGCCTCCGGCTTTATAAAACCACTCTAGGGGTAGAACAGACTCGTACCAGGTGGAGTCGGGGTCAATCAATTCGCTTCTTTGACATAAGTTGAACCTAACCTATTTTATTTGTTATCTGCTTTAATAGGTATTGTTAAAATAAAACAAATTTCACTAAGAGATCATTTATTATGGTGTCTTTCTTGTTTTTCATAAAATGGATTTATATTTACATTATAAATGCAAACATAAAAAAATATAGATATTTTAGAAATCAATTTTTTGTGAATAGAATAGAATAGAATAGAATATTTTTTTATTCAATATACATTACATGTGTAATTCTTATTGAAAGTCATTTTTTACTTTACCACTGGTTCGAAAAAAACCCTCTGTCCTGGGAAGAACCAGCAAGAAACCCAGCGGGACTTTTTTTTAAAATAATTTTACAATATAAATGATTACGAACTATTTACAAAATTTATTTTAGAAACTGCTTGGAAGCGATCACCTCATTCCCAGGGGTTATTATCAACCATGTATTCATTTATACTATAATAACCCTTTTTATACAGTTTCAGCTTAATAAAACATTTAAACTTGGTAATAGAGAGAACCTGTGTGAATCGATACATCAGCTTATGATTTGAATTGATTTAAAAATCAACCTTTTTCGGAAAGAATCGACATCCCTACTGACGACGACAATCACATTAGCATTACAAAATGGCGCCAGTTTTACGGTAGGATTAGACCTAAACATTGCAAGAATAATTGATTTTCAATAATTTTTTTTCTCAAAAATTACGCATTTCTGCATATTGAAACTTTGTGTGTGTGCTTATAATAGTGTCACTTTTCTGTAAAAATATGTATCAACACCCAACTCGACGGACATCAATGGAAAGCTGAGCCGCTTTTTGATCAAGGATAAAAATTTAGTTGTTTAAGAACTACAGTAGGTATTCATATACTATCAGCTGTGCTTGTTTTTCAATTCAAAATCAAACCTATTTAAAAAATACAATTCAGGACAGGTGGGAAAATGGATAAAGGCACATGTTATGTTATGTTAGCCTATACAAAAAATGATACATATTGCTTTGAATTACACAGTATAATTATCACTTATGTTTCTTATCACATTCTGTAGTACAAGTTTGGGTGAGCAAAGTAGTCATATGGATCTGTCTCGACAAGTTTTGCTATGACGTGTGGGATACTATGTAGACTATAAAATAAAAAAAAACATTATGGCATGTGTTTACGTGTGGTTAGTTTGTACTTAGACATTTGTGTAGACCTTTCTATAGCCCGCCCAATTACCTTTTCCTCCTATAGCCTGCTGAGAACTAAGATCCATATGTCATCACTTCCAAGTTTTGAAGTATAGGTGACAATGTGTCATAGTAGCGAACACTGCCCAAACAAGATGAATCCATCGATTCATCTTTCAGTCAAACATACCTAGTCGGACAGTTTGTTCCTGGTAAACATATTTGTCAATAACTTTGAGCACAGTGCTCCCAACAACTACTTTTATAGGTATGACATGGATTTTGTGAGACATTATTGAGGTCATTGAGCATAGTGAAGAAGTTATCCACCTTTTCTGTCATTAATACTATGCCATCGGCAAATCAAAGGTGTGATGTACTTGCCATTATTGTTGACACTGTAGACTTTCCAGTCCAGTAGCTTAACAATGTCTCCCAATGCAGTGGTGAAGAGTATAGGGGATATAGTGTCAAAATGAAAAATGGGATTAAAGGGCTTCTGAAGGACTTTAAATACCGGCTTACCACCCGTTTTCAGAAGCTCAGCTGTAAATCCATCCCGCCCGTGGCTCAGACTGATATCCGGGATATCATCCAGAATTGAATTTTTTTTCTTTTAAAAAATTTATCCCACACTAGGATTTTCTCCTGTGTCGTGGAGGCAGTTTACAAACAAATTGCACAAGGACAAACATCCAGACCCGGAACGATTATTTATAGGCCATACAAATACTTGTTCTGTGCGGGATTCGAACCCGCGGCCCCCAGCGCAACAACTGATTGCTAAGCCACTGTGCCACGGAGCTGTCAAATGGATGAGACTTACTCTTGGATCGTTACTCAACTTGCTGGTGACTCCAACGATGATGTGTATAGCTCTCCATAGGTCCTCTCAATTTCATCCAAAATCTCAGGGTTTCCAGAAATGACATTGCCACAATCAGCCTTTAACTTAGATAATTGGCTCTTTCTGGCAGACGGATCTCTGGCAAGGACTAGATACTTGGTAGACAATTGCTTATTCAATATTACTAGCTGTATTGAAGTTGCGTAAGTCTCACCGCATTTAGAGATCTGTCTGCATATTTGCTGAGGACTACAGCTTTATTTGCCGTCTGAAAGCCATGAGATTAAGAGTGTGGTCAAAAAGTTTTTGGATTCATCTGTGACGGGTCTTGCAAAACTTAGCTTCGACAGCATGAACGGTTTCCATGAGCTTGTAACTTATTACGACCACTGTACTGTAATCTTCTAGGCACTGAAACAATTTTGTAATATGAGCTGAAACTTTTGAGGGCTTTTGATGTACCTGTGACCTATCTTCTGCTCACCATCCTTTCTTGTGCCTGGTTTTGCATTCCCATCAACACCGAAAAGTGGGTTTTGGAGGAATGTGTAGATATAGACATATTTTCTCCCTCTCCTCCACCTCCTCATCGGCATGTGCCGAGGTTGGTGCGTAGACCTGTAAGACCTTCAATGGATACAGTTTACAGGTGATCCTGAGTATAAGGTACGCAACCCTAAGGCAGAAACATACTCGTCCCATGTACGCAACGTATATAACGCATTATGAAATGTAACCTATTTATTATGTATAGAAAACTATGCATTAGAAACACTCTTATCGTAAGCAACGTAATCACACGCGTACGACCAGTGTGTTCTTAAAACTTATACATCATAAACAAATAGACCTTTGCACCGTGCACTTGTCAAAATGTGAGATGAACAGCCAGTGAAGTAGCGTGCCTTAGAGGGGCCCTGTATCAAAATTTGTCGGGGGACCCAAATGAAGGGTAAAGATTTTTTACAAAAGGAACAAAAACTCTCACATTGAATTAAAATAATCATATATTGATTATAAGTTATTACTAGCAATTAATACTCCTAGGAACTAAGGTCGCCAAACAATTCAAACCAACATCCTGTCCCATAGAAGTCTTTAGAATTTTTGCTTACATACGTTCGGGGCCTCTGTAGCCCGGGGGCCCCGTATCATTGATACGGCTGATACGGCAGTAGCTACGCCCCTGTGAACAGCCCATAGATTTAGTAAGGCGATACGAATGAACATTACGTTATATAGTATAGGAATAGATAGCAAAATTACATGGTGAACCTTGTTAGTACCGGTGGTGCGAAATTAAAAAATAGTTTTTTTTTTGTATTTTATCCTATTTTTATCGGAAATGACACATTGTAATCTAAATATTCATGTACTTGTTTGCATTCAAAATCATAAATTTTAAAATAATGACTACCTAAACATTCCTTTGTGGCGTGGATATATTTGTTTATGAACATCATAAATATGGCGTAAATATATTCGTTAAGAACATCAGACTAAGTAAATAATTCTTAAACTCACTTTCAGAATCAGAACACAAGGCATAAATTTGTACTCGTGCGTCCGCTAAGAAGTGACAACAATGTCTGACGCCGAACGTGCGTTGCATACGCAAGTCAAGTGTGTACACTATCGTAAGAGCGTTGCATCGTATACGTTGCGTAAGTGAGACCAGTCTGTCCCTACTCCTATCGGACACACTCCTAACGTTCACAACGTTGTTGACGAAAGACTTGTGGACTATAAATTCAACACCTAAGCAAAGATGGTCGTCCTCCCGGTGATAGAATAATTTGCAGTTTCGTGGATTATCGTGCCCTCCTCCTTTTTCGGACTCCAGATAATCCTTTAATATCACAGTACAACATGTCTATCTCTTCTTCCTGCTCCAGGATTTGCTCGTCAGTTGTCAGGATGCGTGCACTAAATGTTACCAGGTCGTGTCGTCTATACTGAAACTTCTCTGGAGATTTCAAACACCCTCTCCCCGCCGTCACCATAGTTGCCACCGTAGCCATGAGTAGCGGGACCAGTGGGGACTGGGGGCCGTTTCTTTATATTGTTGCTTGATGTTTAAGATGTTTGCCATAGTGACCTGCCTGCCAAGCGTGTTAACTATTTACTATAATTTTTCTAGTTATTAGGAAGATGCTGCTGCCCATCTCCTGGTTTGTATCCCTCTTTCACATCTAACACCCGCGGGACGACATGGGGTAGCGGATATTCTTACACCGCCTCTACATGGTACAAGATAGATTATAATTGAAGTGGGAAAATGGCAAAAGGTTGGTATGCACACTCAAATGTCATTGTCCATTTTTCCGCCTACCCTAGAAACATACTTCACTTTAGTGTACTGCTGCTTTATAACGTGAAATGTTTTTTTTAAATAGATACAAGCTCTTTCATTTGATCTAAATGAAGATGAGGAAGATGATGAAGATGGAGAGAAACCTGAGAAGGATTGGAGAGAGCAGGATGAAGTGGTAAATTTATTTTTTAAATATTATTTATATTTATATCTAATACATCGGTACATATAAATAAAATCGTGTCTGTCTGTAATATTCAAATAACTGGGTGCTTTTACGTGCGAGGGGGGGGGGGGGTGTGTATTTTGTTTGACTATCTATCTTTCTGTCTTCCGGGTTAATCATCGGGATGGCTGAACCGATTGTGATGAAGCTTACTGAACGGCTAGAGAACAATACCAGTAGGGATCTGGGCTATATTTTATCCGAAAAACTTGAAGGGTTTTGTTTTGAAAAAGCGAATAATTGTTAAAACAAATCCTAAAATGTATTTGATTATATTAAATTTAAAAACGCCACATTAGTAAATCTTACATCTGCAGCATACCCACCACATACTTTTTTAATATTCCTGATATAATTTTTACTAATTTATTCCTTTTTCTAACTTTCAAACTACGAGTACGACCTAATTTGTTTAGTTACTTGCAATGTTGGTGTTTAAAATAATAAAACAACTTATCTACTACACAAAAATTGAAAAATGAAATAAATTAGAGGCACTAATTACAAAATAAATGGACAATAGACAAAAAAATCGTCTATTTTACGACAAAACTTTAGTCATGTATTTAAAAAAAAACGGTTTAGTTTGGGGTATGGTGTTTGATAGTCAAATCAGTCAGAAATGATGCACACTATAACCCCCGACTTAACCTGTAACCCAGTACGACTAGCTGTTCCCCGCGAATTCGTTCGAGTGGAATTTATTGCGATTGGATTTTACGGGTTTCATTTTAATTTGGCGCGAAACCCAAAAACTTTTTTAAATAAAAATAACCTAAAGTACTCCTTATCACATTAGCTACTTACTAGTGAAAGTCCTGTCAAAATCGGTCCAGCCGTTCGAGATTATTGATTATTCTATCACCTAGTACCTAGCAATATTACAATACATTCAACATGTACCCCACATTTTACCAGTTTCAATATTTATAATGTTTATTTACATTCAGTGTAAACTAGAATACAAAATTGCAGGCATATAAAAAAATAAGAAAAAATCCCGATGTGGACACATCATTCTTACCAGATAGAGAAAGAGAAGAGGCTGATTTAAAATTGCGCGAGGAACTACGGTTAGAATGGGTAATGACGCAGGCGAGTCTCAAAGATGAACCCATAACTGTTACATTTAGCTACTGGGATGGATCTGGTCATAGAAGAAATGTCACTTTAAAAAAAGGTTTGTATACATTTTTCAGTATTATAAGGTACCTATGTAATTCATATACAACTCAAAGGCATTTGTACAATTTTAAAACAATATTACACATCTTACTGTCATATACGTAAGAATATTCTCTACCCATAGGGTGTCCTAAGAGGCAAGAGAGGTAAACAAACCAGAAGATGGACACCAACGTCTTCCGGATAACAACTAGAAAAAAAAAAAACTGTAGTTACCAACCCACCTGCCAAGCAAGGCAACTACGGCAACCATCCTCCCATAAGCAATGACATAAAAGAACGACACACAGTAACCAGCAGCCGATAGCCCCGCTATTCCTGGCGACCATGGTAACGGCGGGACAGGAGATGCTAAGAATCCCCTGGTGGAGGTTTAGATGCGACTATAGACGACTCGATCCGGCAACGTTTAGCGCACGCCGATGCCATAGCGATATAGTCTTAATGGCAGAATCGCCGAAGAGCCACTCATCAGCACTATACTTCAGCATAATGACTTCAATAGTGTCTTCCAACAGATAGGTCTTAAGATGAACATGAATAAGACAAAGGTCATGTGTAACATCCTGATGGTAAGTGGATGCAGTGGCCCATAGACATCTACATTTATCCTCAATTAAGATTCAAAATGCAGATGCATTGTCATTGAGGACTAAGATGAAATGCCTCATTTCCAGTAAATCGTCTCCGGTTCTCTACACTCAACAACATATGAAACGCAGTAGCATTAAGCTGCTATTTTACGCTGGTATTCTGTGGGAGCGTGGCAACAACCATAATATAGTCGCTCTACCTCTACCACATATAAAATGTTAAATCTATAGTTGTTGTTGGGAGCACTACGGTCGAAGTTGTTGACAAGTATTTTTACATAGAGAAAATTGGCAACTCGTTAATTCCAACGACAACTGAAAAGTCAATCGTTGGATTCAACTCGCCATCAGCAACCTACGGGCCGATTTACACAAATGCTCTCTATTATAAGTGACGTTTGTCAATCATGGACTGTGTCCTAAAAGGTGGCATACACAAACTGAACTAGATAGACAGCAGCAACTGCCTCATAACAACTGAAAATAATAAAAAAACTACAAATGCCAACCCGTTTGGCAAGCATGGCAACTATGGCAAATATTCCTTCTATGAGGCAATGTACAATGTGTCTGGGTTTATAGTAATAAAACTTTAAGGCCGGTAAATACACTTAATTTTATCGATAAAAACACCCAATTTAAGGGGTGCAATCCCCTCAAAGATAGAGCAATTTTTGTGTCTGACTTACTTATTTCGATATCCATATAGTCTAACAACCATAACTTTGGACATGGGTCTCACTAAGGCGTACATTTAATGTTATTTTTACGGCTATAACAGGTAATCTAAAAAAAATATTCAACTATCACACAAAAGATAATATATTTCTCTATTGAACCGTAAAAGGCAATAGTTTTGGAGCTATTGTTGTCAATAGTGCGATTGATTTTTTTTAGAGTTGAGATCGGGTATTCTGGACCTTTCGAAATTCAACAAACATAATAGCGAGATTTAAATAATCTTTGTGGACGTGGGGATTGTACCCCTTTGATGTGAGGTGTTTTTATCGATAAAATTAAGTGTATATACCGCCGGCCACAAACTCCGGGCGAACACATTGTATAAGGAAAGGAAGCCTTTGTTCAGCAGTGGACTTTTGATAGGCTATGACGAATAAATTAATAAAAATGATGGCATGAATATTTATTGGCAAAAAGTACTAAAATATTCTAATTTTCATTTAGACGGAAATGTTATAGTCATTCCCATGTTATTGTTTAGTATCTAATGCAGATACAGAGAAATTATGCATATATCTTATTTCAATTTGATTGTAGGAAACTCAATTTATCAGTTTCTACAGAGATGTCTAGACACATTAAGACCGGAGTTCAGTGAATTAAAAACAGTTTCTGCTGACCAACTAATGTATGTGAAAGAAGACCTTATTTTGCCGCATCATTACACATTTTATGACTTCATTGTAACCAAGGTATGTTGAGACAGTATACAAAGGAAACATAATATTAATGAAATAATTGATATATTATATTACCTTTATTAATCAAATTAAATTATTCAAGCCAAAATAAACAACCTTTAAGTTTATGAGGCCACTTAGTATTGTAATTTATTTAACATTTTAAATGTGATAAAATGATGTATGCTATTATTATCATCTTATTTATTGTAGAGATTTTTCATACAATATTATATTACTCTTGAAAGTGTGTGCACAGTTTCAAGCAGTTTAGACAGCAGATTTTGCAATAGTAACCATGAAGCATATATTTTATGTATCTTCTCGTGATTTCTAATTTATTAGGCCCGAGGCAAGAGTGGACCATTGTTCCAGTTTGATGCTTCAGATGATGTAAGATTAGTAAATGATGCCACACAAGAAAAACAAGATTCACACGCGGGTAAAGTACTTTTGAGGTGAGTATAATTATATATAAATTTAGAAATTTTATTACAAATTTTTTATACATTACCAATGTTTACATTATTTATCTTATAGTGTATACATGAATAAATAAAAAAAGACTTATTTACATGAATATAAATAATATATTTTATTATATACATATTATCATTTTAGCTATGATATATTATGATAAAATTATGTTTTTCAATTTTTCTTTTTACAATCACAAGGATTTTTTTTATTTTGTAGCTTATCTACACAACCATTTTATTTATATTTTTTATATATTTACAGGTCATGGTATGAGAGAAACAAACATATTTTCCCTGCCTCTAGATGGGAGCCATATGATCCAACAAAAACTTACTCTAAGTACACAATTAAAGGCAAATAGAACAATGATGTGCCACTACTATTATGATTACTTTTATAAAGCAATCAAATTAGACTGTATTTTAAATTATGCAATAACACTGTCAATAAATAATTAGGTTTAAATTTTCTTTTTTTTTTCTTTTAGAATTGGTTAACCATTGTCAAAAAATTCGTTTACGCAATTTTCAAAATTTGAGAAGTTATTAGTGTTTATTAACAAAAGTTCTTATTTATAGCTAACAAGCTGATTTTTTCCGTTTTCGAACGACCATTTTGCCTCCTACAAAAATGGTAAAATGGCAATAAAAAAATCAAAGGTCACTTATCGTGATAATAACAATTGAGAGATATCTCAAGTTGGAGCAAGGAATACACATTTACAAAATTTCATTAGCCTTTTGACCGCCAAAGTCGCCTATACTTGACCAGCACCTGCAGGCCCTGAGCGCCAACGACGTCTATAGTTGACGAAAAACCCGACCCACAAAAATATGAAATATAGATATTCCACACTCCTCAAAAAAGAATAAACCAGCAACATGTGAGTACAAAAAACAAATCTCCTAGAGCCAGAAGTACTAAGAACCATTGAACTAAAAAAAATAGATTTTTATCTAAGCAAATACTATGTCCAACACGCCAGTCGTCTATAGTTGACCGCTAGTGCCGTTCGCGGGAAGTATATATTTCTTTAAAATTAGCCAAAATTCAGCTCAAACGTGATATTTTTTTTTCTATTATTATTGATATTTGAATAAAACAAAAGGTTAGAAACATAAAACTATAATTAGCTTCATGAGTAAAGAAAATATTATCAAATCATCTTCGCATATTAAATCTAATATCTCAACTCTGGCGCATCCTTAGCCCGTCATCGAAAATCAGTTCACTGGGCGCCGTGGTCAAAAATAGACGACATCCTGATGACGTCATCAAGTGATTAGCGGGAAAAGTAGTGCAGTGCAACATGAACGATTCTGACTGATTTACCTAGTGCGAATAATTATATACAATTGTTGATTAGTGAATAATTATGTAGCTTTTTTTATTTTAATAATATAAAATTACAAATAATAAATGTGTGTTTTTTTTTACATAAGGTATGAAGAGCAATTTTTCATTTTGTGTTGTGCGATTTTCTTTCTCAATCTCAAAATCATCTGGCAGCATCAGCGTCATATCAAACCTCCATTGTCATAAGAGCGTAAGACTTTTCTTCTGTGCTTCACTTGGCCTACGCTTCCCCGACACATAAATTATTTTGATTCGATGTCTGTATATTTTGGTTAGATCGATTTCGAAATCGATACACAACGTGCGACACGGCTACATCTCTAAGAAAGTTTCAAAAAGGAAGGTCAGCTACGCCATTGTCGTCCAGTCGTGACAGTGACGTCATCACGATGGAGAGTAGTGCTGTGGTTTACTACTATTTTATTATTATTGTTTGTTTTTTATTTATGTACAAAGTACATATAGAAAAAGAGTGGAAGAGAGCACAAGATTAAATAAAACGTACCAGATTATAAAGTCATTTATTGCATAAAAAACCAACGACAACAAGTTATTTTGTGTTATCGATATATCAACTCTTGGCAGCACTATAATTTTCGTAGGTATTTTTGTTTACTTTTCGCTTTGGCGTACAGGACACGGTAATGCGTTTTTGGCGTTGCGGTCAAAAGGTTAAATTAGGTTGAGCAGTTTCGGATTTTAGCATAAAGGAATATCGTGACACGGGATTTTTATACATATAACAGATCTTTACCTATGAAATTGCCACTCTGCAGTACTGGCCATTTCAAAATATCTTTAAATAATTAAATAACTAAATCAAAATAATTTTTATTTGGCTAACAATAATAATTTCAAATTAATATTATTTCAAAAACATGGAATTCTTTTTTCAAAATTAGTAATCTTTTTATTGATTAGCGTTATGTTTTCATCGCATTTGAATCTTTTTCGTCATCATTGATACGTTAAAAATTCGAGTAATTATGTAATATGGGTACCGTCGTGGCAGCATAGCAGCACGCAACATCAACGACGTTTATGGAGCGAATACTACAAGCGTACGCACCACCTGTTATTGGTTTACCCGCTTTCGTTCTGGGAATTTCGACCTGAAAAATAATCCCCGTGGTCGTCTGACAACTGTGATCGATAATGACGAATTAAAGACGATCGTGGAAGCTGATAATACTAATACTACGGCTGAATTAGCAGCAGCTTTTGACGTTAGCTTCAAAACAAATTTTTTTAACGTGGTATAGTTGTAGCACGAATGGGTCGGCTCGACCGGGGAAGGACCACATCAACAGGCACACCACAAACAAAAGATTCTTACCAAACGGGATTAGCATTAGTGCAGATGTGTACTGTGGAGAAGTGAATACAATGATGAAGAAGCTGGCACATCTCCAATCAGCTTTGGTCCTGCACGACAACGCGCAACCTCATACTACACAACAGACGGTCTCCAAGTTACAAGAGCTGGGCTTGGACGCTTTCCGTCATCCGCCGTACTTACCAGACCGGAAAACAATATCCGAGAGGCAGTACAAAATGCCTTTGAAGAGTTTGTTGCCTCCGGTCCAGCAGATTTCTTCAAGAAGGGGCATCAATAAAATGCCACTGCGTTGGCAAAGATGCATCGACTGCATGGGTGATTACTTTGATTAATAAAAATAAAAAATATAGAAGAAAAAAAAAGCGTTAACTTATTTCATAAAAAACGGCAATTTCATAGGTAAAGGCCTAATATTAAGATTACCCTTAGACCTTAAAGTAGTGTAATATTTAAATATTGTTTATGTGACCATCTGCAATAATTCAATATGATACAAGACTTTGAAGGTTCTTCCACCTTTTGTTTTCAAGTTTATCTAAGAACTCTTGTTTGCTTCTGCTGTTCTCTATTTCTGGCAAAAGAGGTGGTGCATGTCTTTGAAAATGAATGATAGCAGCTAATAGATTCCAAATAGTGAACTCCGGCCATAAAACATCTGAGAAGTATAAAACTGTCCTTGAAACCTGCAATAAAAATAACAATGATTTAAAATATACATAGATACAAATATGATTCAAGAAGGACATTCAAATATTTTTATTTTCAACCACGGATGTAAAAAAATATCTTTTTTTTAAATAAAACACACATTAATGGGATGTAATGATCTAAAGTGAAAATGAAAACTAATCAGTCTGGTGGATTGTCTTTCAATATTTTTCAAAAGAGCAATTAAATATTATTTATTTAGGCCACAAGTCCCTAGCAACTTGCGCCAGGATCGCTGCCAGGGAAGTGCTCTTTTTCCTTTATGATGCTGAAAGGCGTCGAAACCGCGACTGTTGTTAACCGTTCAGTGCGGGTGACACGCCAGGCGTGCCATCGATTACTTTTGTGTGTGGCATATGACACGCGAGTCGTGTCTTTTTTTAAAATCGTTATAACTCGCTCAAATTGCTTTTTTGGAAAATTTATCCAGAACAAAATATTCATTATTTTGCGAGTAGTTCATGCATGCAGCTTCGTTTCTGGATATTTTGAAAATTTGAAATTTTTAGGGGTTGGCAACCTTTCTTTAACGTGTACATGGTACTATTTTTACCTTGTGGGTTTTAAATCATGTTATGGAGAAATTGTCTAATAAGTAACAAATAATAGCACTCATTGCGATCGCTCACAAACTCAAGTTGTAAATAAATTTCTGGAAAACAAGTCTCCTGTTAAAAAAAACAATGCGTTTGTCTTATTGTTTAATTTTGCTTAAAATGGTTGAACTGCCGTCTTATTACTATCATATGGCCGAATAGACCTACGAAGTACCATGTGCTCTTGTGATATGGTATAAGGTTTATTTTTGCTTGAAACAATTCGGAACCGTTCATGGCATGAATCATGCATAAAAAAAGTTCGCTAATAAATAGTCTTTTGTCAATCCGCCGCCGTATAGCGCCGGCGTTTTTTTCTTTTTGAAAACACTTGTTTTGCTATTCTTACTAATTAGACGTTTTCAGATCGACTTTACTTTTACATTTGTATAACATTAAATAATATTTAACATTTGTAAATATCATTCAATGATATACCTTTTTTTTTCAAATTAAGGTTCTTCATTGTTTGATATTTACAAATGTTATTATTAGGTGAAAATTTAATTTAATAAAAACCAAATGTCTGTGGCGCAGGACACGCCCGGCGTGTCATGAAATATTTGTTCGCAGCTAAAAGTTGTCGAAAATTGGTGCCGCAACGAATCGGTTAATTAATTTGTTTTTATTTCTTCTTCTTTATATTAAAATATTTGTTATTACGAATTAGTTATATAGTTTATACATGGTAGGGCCATGCTGCAGCTTTAGTCTAGTTGTAGCATGAATAGGTCTAGATGAGAGAAGGTCCACACTCACAGAATAACAACTTAAAATAGCAGCTTAATGCTGCTGTGTCTTGTATGGTGAGTTGTAGAGAACTGGATACCCTTTTTACTGGAAACGAGGCATTTTCTGTGATCACAACATATATGCATTTTGACTTTCAATTAAGGATAGATATAGATGTTTGTGGACTACAGCATCCACTTACCATCAAGTAGACTGTGTGCCCCTTTGTTCTCTTATTCTATATAGAAAAATGTTGAAGTGTCAATGTATCTCGAAAATCTGACAACCAATGCATAAGAAAGGTTTTCAAGAGGCAGCCTTGTAAACGAAGTTTAGGGCGAAACCCACTAGATGTAATTTCAATAGGGATGATGGCTGGGTGCTAGCACAATGCACAATTACTGGGACATGTCTGTCGCAGCAATGCCGGAGGATAGGACAGTCCAATCTGTCTCCTATAATTTTCAGGATAATATTGGAGCTGGCCCGCATTCTGCGCATCAGTGACGCACACCGCTTACGCATGGTCGCATGAAAGCAGGCAGTGCGCGCCTCCGCAAACATGCCAGAGGCACTGCAGAAGCGGGGCAGTCCCACGATCACACTGAAAGCGTTATTGTACAGGATGCG